TTAACTGGTGTAGGTCAGTTGGTGACAAATCTGAGGCCACAAAGTAGTACTGTGCAGGTGAGATGGTAAGAGACAGGCCATCGTAACCATACACCTTCATCAGTAAGTGGTGATGTGCAGAACTGTGAACCCTGCAAATGCACATGATTGTCCCACCAGCATCACAACCAATAACATACTCTGACTAGGTGTTTGTGTAGTTAAGTACTTTCCTGCTCCTTTGAGGTACAGCAGTAGCTGCATGAACATCTAGTAGGAGGAAGTGGGTGAGAAGCAGACCTAGGGTTTGGACCACAGCAGCAAACTCAGTAGTTGTACAAGCTGCTAATGCCAAGAGCAAATTCTAAATCATGAGATATCACTCAGATTTGTAATATCTGCTCTTTATCCCCTGCTTTGCACCAGAAAGGTACCCATCATCTGAAATTACTGCTTAGCGTAAGCATGTTGCCATTTCTGGCTTTGCCAGATAAAACTAGAAATGAGATGTAGATTTTTTTTTTAAAACAGTATTATTTATGACTTTAAATAGGTAGGTAGCATAATTAGGGATTGAAAATGCTTTCAGTTGATCTGTAGCCACTGTATTTCTTTACATTATGCCTGCAATGCTATGTTCTCTTTCTATCCATTTGGTGATAGCTGCATTCATGATCTGACCATGTTCCAGATTCTAGCAATCAGCTGCTATCTTCAATTACTGCAAGATGTTCGCCTAAAATTTTCCTGTTTGGAAGCTGGTATAACATTAATATGTAAGTTTCTGCTTCTGTTGTGCAGTGTAGTTTCAGTCATTAGGTGATCTCTAACTGGAGAATATACCCTTATTATACATGTGACAAACTGCCTCAGTAAAAATCCCCTTGAAGAACAAGATAGTCCGAAATAGTAGCACTGCAGTTCATCAGTCAATTTTTGAATTTTTATAGAGTCAGAATAATATTAGAGAGAAATTACACAGTAAGAAAAACCAATACTGACTACATTGGACAACAGTCATGGGAGCGTATGCTTTCATTAATACACTTATGGGCCCCTCTGTCTTGCTTTTACATTCAGGTTTGGTAATGTGGTTAGAACGTAAGTGCAGTTCCTGGGCTATTCCTGTATGTCATACCTCTGCCTTAAATACCCGAACAGGTTTTGCACTAGTTCTTGATGCTACTCCATGAATCCATCATGGACCATTTTCTTCTGTGAATGCCCATAGCAGCCCAGCAAAGAGTGAAGAGGCTGGCATGAGCCTGAAGAAGGCTGATTATGTGTTTCCAAGTATACTTGATAACACTGACCAATTCAGAATTTTAAGAACACAGGTGAAAAGTTCCCAGTCCTGCTGTGTCCAGCTAGAGGTAAAGTAAGAGCTTATTACAGGCTCTGCTGAAGTGCCTTTTTAAAAATTTTTTTTTTTTTTTTAGAAATCTGTATAATACATTGCTAAGGGGATTGAGAAAGGAGTGTAAAGGGGATCGGTATACCTCACTTAAAACACGCTTTGTTATTACCTTTATGGCATCGTCACTCTATGGGGATGAGTTACAGGGTGATGAATACAGCAGATGTCCTGGTGCAGAAACAGCTGAGCTACAGCCATGACCTCTCCACAATAGGCTGCAGGTATGTTGCAGTATCATTGAAACAAGTAGCATGTCCTGGAGGCTCACCACTGCTAAATGTCACTATTACAAATCAGCATTAAGTCACAGAAGTGAAGGGCTAAGTTTTGCCCTGCACTGGACTAGTGCGCGTAAGCCTAGAACGAGTTCTAGGAGGGTTCAGATTTGGTCCTGAAAGGGCTGTGGTTTGCTCTTGGTAACTATTCATTTAAATTATTAGTTTATCAGGAAACAACAGTTAATCATAATCATCTTTCCTTAGCCCACCAAAGTGATTTTTGAGTCCTATTGCCCCATGACTGTCACGCTTATAGGGTCTGCTATCTGTGACAAAATGTTACAGTAAACATGGATATTAGCCAAACTATTTCACAGCTCTGATCTGTCTTATTTGTACTGAACAGACAACATAATGTGTCTCTGGCATGAAGATTTGTCATGGAGTAAGTTCAGTCAGCCACTAATGTGCTCTTTCAAGTATGTGTTGGGGAATAATCACTCTAAAGTCACACACAGTATATGAACCACTCTTGCTAATGAAACTGCACTGAGTTGTTAACTTATTTTAAACTTCAGTACTATTGACGTGTTGCGTCCCTCTTTGTAGTACATTGGTATTTCAGTAAGGAGTTGTATTTTCCCCATGGTTAAACAACCACTTTGTGCTTATCTTTCCCTCCTGAATTATAGTTGGTCCTTCGTTCCAAGCACTTTATGCTATCTGTAATGGGATCTATTTTTGCACTGGAATACCTGTTAACTTTGCAAAATCTAAAGAGATTTCACAACTGAAAATTATAAGTTAAATCTTTAAATGGACATTTTCATTAAAAGCAAAAAAAAAAAGTATATATTTGTATTTGCTAATATCTGTTATGTGAAGTATTAAAAGGCACTCTAATTGCCTTGTATTAAGTAAAAAATAAAGCTGTTATAGCACCATTGGTCTTCAGAGTGTCATTTTTGCATTTGTTCTTTTGAAGAGTGCTGCTTTTGTTTTTCCTGGGTTTGTTTGGTTGTAAGCTTTGATGCATGACATTCCAGTATCTCTACAAATTAGCATGGAAGGCATACTATGTTCAGGCAAGATTTCAGGTTGCTATTTTAAGCTTCTGAAGTTAGTAAATAAAAAGGTCTCCAGCACCTCCTGAAAATGGTTTAACTGTCAAATCCAGTTGCAGAGCACAAGCTCCTCTGAATGTTTAAATCCCAAGTCAAGCACTTGCCTCTCAATTTTCATTACAGAAATACACCATGTTGCAACTATTGCTGGTTGCTCCTCCTTGCTAAAAATACACTATACCTCTCCTCACTGACAAAGTTAGATGTTATGTTTGAGTATAAAGACTCTGAAATACGCTGAACTTACCCAATCTTTAGATAATACCAAATTAAAGGAAGATTATTCCAGCTAACACTAGCTTGATTTTGAACAGCAGTTTACAAATCAAAGCAGAGTAACGGTCCAACTCCTCAAGGGAAACTGATACTACAATGTTACCTGCTACTGCCTTTAGTATCACTATCAACCAAGTTCTGGAAGCCAATTCTTAAAGTTAAACTCACCAGGAAAATTCATCCTGAGATAAGTAGAGAATTAAAATTTCTTTATTTTTCTGTTTTAATCTAGTGTCCAGCTGGCACTTCAGGATAAAGCATACCTCTATCATCTTGAGTATTCTTTACTCTTAATGCTGGTATCAACAAAAAAAACAAAACCCAACCCCCCTCCGCACTCAACTTTTTAGTATTCCTACTTTTTTTATTCCATCAAACAGTGAAACAGTTTTTGCAATTGTGTGGTAAAAAAGGCCTTTTAACTCCCTCTTTCTCTTTTTGGCCCCTGTTTTTGTTATTTTAAAAAGTCCTCCTTTGAGATAACCATTCTAAGGCAACATTCTGGATAGACTTCGTAGTGAGGGTTTATCAGCTGTTTGTACCTTAAAAATGTTGATCTGTAAAATATAAGACCCTGGTCTCTGAAGTAAGTGTTTGTTCCACCCTGAGAATGGTAAACCTGAATGTTTTGGAACAAGAAGAGTATGAAGATGTGGGTATAGCAGCTGTGGCCTGTTACATTCCCCAAACTACAGCAGCCAGATCCCTTCCACCCACTGTGGACATAAGCATAATTGCCTACAGTTGTTTCTTAGTGTTTTCCGTGAGATCTTAATGCACTTTAAAGAAGCAATAATCACGAGGCAAACTGCACGAAGATATTGCAGTAGGTAAATTGAATCAACTGCTCATTGTGGGTCAGTGATTAATGGTGGAAAAGCCTCCCAAGTGTTCTGCCAGTCAGTACCTATAAACTGCAGAAGAGGGTGCTCTGTACCACTGTACACAGAATGGAAGTTTGACTTAGCACATCTGCCGTCTGCCCTACTGCTATTCACTCTAGCTTACTGGTTTCAAAGCAACTTGTTGCTAACCAAAAGGCAAGACCTGCAGAATACTGTACTTGCAGAATGGGATTTATCATTTCAGAGTTTAAAAAGAGCAAGTGCTTGAGCTGTAAACACTAAAAATTAATGCTTTTTACTCATTTATTTAGCTTTAAACAGTCTGGCAAAAAATATTTCAAATAATGCAAGCACAGGAAGATCAGCCGAGTCTGATGACATGATTGAACATGAAGGGCAAATCAGCTTCAGCATTCTAAACAAATACTAAAATGCCCAAGGCAAAGCACCATGTGGGCAATTCACAGTTGTGAGGAAGTGTTTACTGAACAAAAACGGAAAAGGCTGAAGTGAACCATAACAAGTTAGTGAGTAAGTGCTCATCTCACAGAGTTCATCACGACATGCTACCCAACCAGCTCCAGTGTAGCACATAAGTGCAATTCCAGCTGTGTTGATGCACTACATTGCTCAGAATTAATACAAAGCACCCGAAGGAGAAGTCTGATCAAAACATAACTAGGTAAGATGTATGTGGGAGCATTCTTTCTTAAACCAGTATGGAATAACCAAGATGTAAAAATCATAAGAAGCACCAAAATATGTTATGAGGATGATACCATCCCTGACTGTAATGTTGGAAAAGAGCACCTAACTCACTAGGTTTGATAAGTCATCTGGTTATGCGAAAACTATTAAAAACTTAGGCGTTAAAATAAAAAGATTGGTGAAGTGTGGTTCGTGTCATAAGTGATACGGCTTTGCGTTCTTTTTCCTGGAGATGTAGGAATATTGCCATAAACTTCTGTTCAGCAAGTAATGATAATCAGGGTGCCGATTTACATTGATAGTGATCAGCATTTTGAATGCGTTTTTTTTGTCAGCTGAAGAACAGTTCATGAGGTTATGGCGATTCATGGCACTTGCTGACAGCACTTCCATCTTGTCTCTTCTGCCATCAGTTACATCCTTTAGAAACAGGTTACTTCAGTGGTGAGCACTGCAGAGGAATCAGGAGCGCATTTTGCTGGGACTCCAAGAATCTGACACTGTCACGCACTGAAATTAAATGCATGTTTAATTAAGACAGTAATCCAATGAGAAGTAATCTTTTTCTCAGCATGCATGCAGGTAACATGAGTGAGTTGTCTGGATTAATCATCTCTTACCAGCTGCTACCACTCTGGCATCTTCATGGGCACTGTGCCTTCCTGCTGCCCGGTGATCTGGGCTCTCGTTCCACCACAACACATGGACTGAAAAAGTACAAATAAAGTCAGCTGAATATTGTTATGCTGCAATTCAACACATACTGTAAGTCCTAGCAATCTGCCTTCACCTGCTAGATGCCTTGCAGTTAGCAGAAACAATTTTCCAGGCAAATCAGTGACGGGATGATCCTTTGCTGAGGCATTACATGGTTTGACTTTAACATCAGATCTAAGAGCCTTTTTAAGATAGTGGCACCTGGCTTAAGCCTATAATGCAACACACAAAGTTGGGTTCAAGGACCGTTTACACGCCTCTGCTGATCTGCACCAACGTCTTCAGCAAGCTAGCCAATCCTGATACAGGATGAGGGCTTGCCCCTCTCCCTCCAGCCCCTCCCATGCCAAAGTCTGTATTAGAAATCGAGTAGTACCTGTGTTAAGTAATCCATACTCTGTGTGGAAAACACCAATCAGTGTGGTATAGCCTGTGTTGACATGAGCATTGATTGCAGCTCGAAATGCCTCACCCCACAATGCTGGCCCACCAGGCTTCATCTGGAAAGTAACCCATTCATACATCCCTAGAAGAAAAGGCAAACACTACCACATGGAAGGAAATACAGATTAATGTGCCGGTTCTTGAACAGTGTGTCATGGCCACGATGTATTTACTGTGAAACCAGTACTGTGTTTCCCTGCCATTCCGGGGTCTTCAGGAAACTGTCCCTTCATCTCAGCATGCACACAACAACTCTCAGCTTCCAGGGGCTCACAAGAGCACAGGTTCACTAGCTGCAGCTCATTTAAGTGTAAATATAAGTATCAGGGTCCTGAGGAACAGAAGGCTTCACAACAAAGCCCAGCTTAGCAGTCTTCAGTGTTGCCTGGAAATTTGCAGAGATTCAGGCTGCTTTGCAGAAATCACAAATGCCTATACATATTTCAGGGATTTTGGTGGCTGCTGGAGCAATGCCAGGTGGCCTTTTCTAAGACTGGTGATGGTTTCTGGCATTGAAGTGGTTTACGACATTACAAACCCCTTTTACTCCTGGTACTTGGTCACAGCAAGATCTGAAGGTGTAAAAAACACACCACGATTAGTTTACCATCTCTGCTCTGCTAAGCAATCTCCCTTATTTGTAGAGATATAGCATAATTTGCCAGAAAGTCCAGTCCTGCTACAAGTTACCTGTCTTCTTTCTATTCAGGTAGTTATTCCAGATCACAATTGCTGACACTGTAATAGAAACCTATATGGCAATGTATGTCTGGG